AGGAAGGAGCTATGGTTGTTTGAATGCCTTAACTCTGCATTTCCATACCATGTTTGCATTTCTGTTAAGTTTAGCCATAATGAACTCCCTGGATTTATATCGCTTTATCCCTGTACTGTACTTTATCCTAAACTACTGCTGTGTCCTCCATCTTAATGTACTTTTTGTCTGTGAATTTTTAGAAATCTGTCATACAGAAGCATCTCTATATATGTGAATGATTCTGGTGCCTCAATGAAAACTGCTATTTTACTAATTACCACAGGAAGTCTAGCCTGCTGCCATCCTCTGAAGGCAATGCTACTCACAGATGCATATGAGTTTGGAGAATTTCAGTGTTTTAAGATGATTTACATTTGCTACATACATTTTTCTATTAAATAAAATATACAAAATTCTTCTTAAAACTGTGCAACTCTCCAAATTCATGTATTCCCCTGCTGAGTGGCATTTCCTTCATCAATGGGTATCAAGCAAACAAACAAGAAAGTAGCTTTTTCCTTTAATAATTTAATTATTGTATTTTTTTTAATTGGTGATTTATATATTTTAGAATTTGATACAATGGTTAAAAAATTTGCAAATTACAGTGCAGTTAGTCACATAATGGAGCTGAAGCTTATAGTGACAGTGGAATATTCACAAGAGTCATATACCAAGGAGGATTACTGCCCATTGAAGGGACATTTTTAAAGGAAAATACCTTGCTGGTGCTATGGTTTATAGTCACGCCTGCTTCAGCCGAGGCAACAGCTAAATTACTAAATTCAGAGGGGAAGCAGGATTATTTAAGAAAAAAAAAAAACTGAAAAAGTGGAAGAAAGAGACAGACATTCTGTGGAAAGAAGGAAGTCCCAAAAGGCGCACACACAATTGGCTGCACTGGAGTGCAACCAACAATTAGACATTCAAATTATTGGCACCAAAAACTTGGCCTGCTAGAAGGGTAACTGCTAAGACAGCTTTAGTAACATGACCCAACTCTGGTAAATCTGACTGTTTGACAGAGAGAGATTTTGGAGGGTTGTAGATTTTATTTTTCACTGAAGCATCAAAATGGCTGAACAGCTAGTATTGTAGCTACTGAAGAACTCATTAGGGCATCTGGATTTTGACAACGTTATTTTTCTCCTCATGGTGCTGGCAGTAAGAACAATCTTACCACTATATTCAGAAAATAAGCCACAGTTAATGATGGCAAAATGGAGGTGCTACTGGAAGTTCAACTACAGTGTGTCTTAGGTGTTGTCTACATTAAAATCATAAATTGACCTATATTAGGTTGAACTTACAGCCACCGCAGTAATTACTGTGGCTTCTTGCCCCCAGGAACGGGATCCAGCTGCCTCGGTTTCTCAGCCCCTCCCTTCCCCCGCTGGGAGCCAGGCAGCCTTGTCAATTTGACAAGACAGCCAATAGCCAGGAGCAGGCACCTAGCCCCCCAGGTCTTCTTGACCCAGCTCCCAGCTGGGAGCAGGCTCCAGCCACCCAGCTTTCTTGTCAATTTCACACTCCCATCCCATTCCTTCTGGAGAAATGAAAGCTCCATGAAAGCTGTGACAAGCGATCTAACAGCTCATGTAAGTAACAGAGTGTCTACACAGACACTGCGTCACCCTAGCTACACCATCATAAGCCCTACACCTCTCGGGGAGGTGGAGTTGTTATATCAGTGTTGTAGGGCACTTACATCGGCAGGACAAGGCTGTAGTGTAGACACTGACATGATTCAGTTGATGTAAGCTGCCTTACATCAACCTAACAGTGAAGTGTACACCAAGCCTTAACTTCTAATGTAAGCTGTGAACCTCAGCCGTAGTAGGAGGAAGAGGAGCATGTTTCAGCCTATAAAGTCACTGTTTACAAGAACCCACCACAAACACTTTCAGTGAAACACCTGGTGCTAATGTGCATTCTACAGTTCTTACGCCCACCCCAGGCAATAATTTAAACAGATGTCATTTGCTCTCATGGTGGCCTGGACTTGTTTCTGATATAGCATTTGGAATTATTTGAAATGGTATTTAAGGCAACCATGTATTAAAAACAGTATCTCTAAAAGGGCCCTTAGATAAGCAAGGATGTCTAACACACCAAGATTTTCACAGGTGTCAACTATTAAAATGTATCAAGAAAATTAGAATGTTATTTATATTTGAGATGCTCTTTGTGATTTATGGAAGAAATTATACATATTCCAGAGAATATTTACAGACAAATTCTGTCTTGAATCCCTTAATTTTTTCAGTGTTGCCTCCTCTTCTTATCCTTATTTTTTCAATCTTTTTCCTTATGATTTAACAAACCATATTCTTTTTCTTATGCTTTCCCCCTTCTTTTATTGCATGCCCACAACTCAGAGTTCAACTTTGTACACATTAGCATATGAGTGGGGATAATGTCAAAACTATCTCCACCTGAACCAGCTCCTTTGCATACAATACTTTGGACTAGGGATAAAATACACTTAAAATCTCTTACTTTAAATAAAAGTCATGATACCTTTTTTCTTTTTCATTGGCTCACGGATATCAGGGGATGTTGGAACAGGAGACATATCCATTGGTTCAGACTCCTCAGTTGACACCTCCACTACAGTTTCTGTTATCACATCTGGCCTCATAGCAGCATGGATAAACTCTGGGGTTGACACACAAGGAGGGACAAAAACTTCCACTAAAGAAAAAAAATGCACCAGATAAAGTTTCTACCCAACTCCTTTACTATGTCATAAATCAAATTATTTACAGCAAAGAACCTGGAGGGGCCTATGATTCAGGGACCAAATCATGCAAACTTTACATAATTTGTCACTCAGGAGCTCAATCCAGTCCCCAGAACATGCATATACAAGTCAATGTTATTAGATATATGGCAAGGACAGGTATCTAAAAGTCCAATCTAGGTCTCACTGAAATCAGTAAGAATGTTGCTATTCACATCAGAGGGAGCAGCAACTTGTCTGAAGGGCAGAAGTAAGACTACAGTCTTAAATAAACTTTGCTGCAAGGTCAGTAACATTCTTTCTTAACATAGTAAGAAAACATTCTACAATATTAAAAATAAGTGAAAGATAAATGGCTGCATTTTAAGTCAGATATGTTTAAGTACTTGTGAAACTTTCCACGTTCCTCTTTAAAGCCCAAATTTAACTTTTTCAAAAATGGGTATGAGTTAAGATGTAGCACTTTGATATTTACTGATGTTAATGGTCCACCAGCAGTTCCATCATGCGCTCCTATTTTCATAAGTTTATAACTTAGCCCTGATTACAAATTCTACCCTAGAACTCAACACACCATTAAGTTTAATCAAAATGTTACATACGCATATAGGAGAGTCCCCTCTGTCCCCACTTCAAAATATGAAGCTGTTTAAAATGCAGCATATTAAAAAAAGAGATAAGCTTACAATTTTAGCTGTATTTTTGCACATGTATTTCAAAAATTGTTTTTAGGTGAATTTTTGAAGACTGGTCATCTAAAACGTACACTACTCAGGCTTATAAGTATTTTTTGTTATTTATTAAAAGTAGCCAAATTACCTTTTTTCAGCTACTGGACATGAACTATTGTCCTCACTTGATTGATTTTCATGTACAACAGTGTAACATCACCATACCACAGGTTGTCTGCTACATTATATCACCCACCAAACTATATTACATATTGTTTTCAAAGGAGCCATTATGGTTTAACTGGTTGGAAATCCATTTTTTTTTAAATAAATACAGATTCATCCAAGGAGCCATAACTGTTCTAAATAGGACTGTAGAAGAGTTAGGGGGCAACTATACTTTTGTTAATATGTATACATATATTTACACAATAGAAGAAAATTTCTCAAGCAAACATTAAAATATAGCAAAACAACTTAGGAGAAACTTTTAATCCTTAAATGCTATTACAGTACTTGAAAAAGGGATAAATTTAGCTACTAAGAACTATGGCCCCAATCCCACAGAGACTTAAACACGTTCACAATTACACGTGAGTAGCCCTACTAAAGGGAACAGGGCTAATCATGTGTAAAGTTGAGTACATGCTTATGTTTTTGCAGTATATTTTAATATTATGGATTGGATTTCAACGACAAAAACAAAATTCAAAGTTAAGTTGCAATGAATTATATTATATTTTGATATATACATATTTTAAAAAAATATCCAAGTAGTATTAAATATTTTTAAATTGATTTTAGAATGGCCTAAATTGAAGGAACCAAAAAAATTATCTCACAACTTTTGAAAGTGGCTTCTTTCCCAGGCATTCAAATGATTTCTACATTCGCCAAGTACTCAAGCTTTACAATGTAACAGATTCCCATTTGTTTTTATTACAGGTGGGGCTCAGAGCAATGCCTATTATTAAGGCTGCCCACACTTTCCAACTGTTTTCAGCTGCTTATAACTTTGCAAAACTAACAGTTTGGGCTGAAATTTTCATGCCAGGTATCCAGCTCAGGCTGAATTTTTTTGGAACATTTCAACCACAACAATTCATTCATTTCCAAAAATAAGGCTATGGGCTGTTTTGCCCATAAAAAAAAATCTGGCAACTTTTTTGTTTTCGTAGCTCCTGCGCCCACCCACTTTGGAAAAGCGACTTGAAATTTGGCAAGGGATGAGGGAGGACTTTATGTCAGGGATGTGCCTTTTCTATTCCTGTGAAAATACACCCAAATTTGGCAAAGTTATAAGTTTCAATAATCATGGTTCACAAAACTCAGTAGAGACTTGCTAGAGCTTCACAGTTTAATTCCCTGAAGATTCCACCTGCACTGAGCATGCTCCAACCTGGGTTCCGGCAGGATTTTCCCTGCAATTACAGCTGAGTTGCTGCTGGAACAGAGGTCACAGAATCTGTCTCTCCTGTGCACTCAATGCTCCACCTGCTGGGCCCAGGCAGCATGGAGGAGAAAACTGCCCTATTTTTCGAGTGCAGAGGAGACAAGAGCCAGAACAAGAGGAGGGAGGGGAGTAGACTGAGACCAGGATCCTGGGGCAGGGAGAGAGCAATCTTAATTAGGCCTCCATGTGCATAGGGATTATGATACAGTCTTTAATTATGACCACATGCTATTTCTTCCACAAGATCCCTGCCTCATTCAGTTCACCAAATGGATGGTGCTCGTTTAATGAGCAGCTATTCAATATTTTGGTTTCAATTTATTGTTTAAACGAGTGATCCCATGCCTTACTTACATTATTCAAACTCAACTCTGAAGACGGAATTATCTTTGTGGGCTTTCCTATGGCACTCATCATTAAATGAGCACTTCACAGATATTAAATTTATTTTCACAACATCCCGTAGAAATGAGGAAGTATGGTTATCCACATTTTACAGATGGGGAACTGAGGCACAGCAAGATTAAGGTAAAGTATCCACTAATTTTGGGTGCCCTAGGTGAGAAGCCTAGGGCCTGATTTTTCAGAGTGCTTAGCATTATATAGCATTTTATACACCTCTATCCCGATATAACGCGACCCGATATAACACGAATTCGGATATAACATGGTAAAGCAGTGCTCTGGGGGGCGGGGCTGCGCGCTCCGGCAAACCAGAGCATCAGCGTGTCTGGCTCTGACACGCTGCTCTGAGCGGTGTGTTAAGGGTGCCCAGCCGGGGCCAAGGGGTTGGATAAAGGGCAGAGGTCTCGGGGGACAGTCAGGGGACAGGGGAGGGGATTGGATGGTTCGGAGGTTCAGGGGGCGGGGCGGTCAGGGGACAGGGAACAGAGGCGTTGAATAGGGCGTGGGAGTCCTGGGGGTGACTAGGGATTGGGGGGGGGGTCTCTGGAGGGGGCGGTCAGGGGACAAGGAGCAGGGGGGGCTTAGATAGTGGATGGGGTCTTGAGAGGAGTGGTTAGGGGCGGGAAGGTCTCTGGAGGGGGTAGTCGGGGGACATGGAGGGGGGGTTGGATGGGTCGGGGGTTCTGAGGGGTCAGTCAGGGGGCGGGAAGTAGGTGGGGGTTGGATGGGGGCGAGGCCAGGCATGTTTGCTGACTATTAGTAACGGAAATGCTCGAGGCCAAAGCAAGTTCGATATAACGGGGTTTCACCTATAACGCGGTAAGATTTTTTGGCTCCCAAGGACAACGTTATATTGGGGTAGAGGTGTATATTCAAAGCATAGCTTCTATACATGCGAGCTGCAGCTGTGGGCACTCGGTAATTCTGTACATTAGGCCCAAGTGTCGCAAGTCAGGCACCCAGAAAATAAGGAACACACAATTAGTGAATACCTGTGAAATGTTTGGTTAAAGTGATTTACCTAGCATCACAGAGGGAGGGACAGAATCCAATAATCTAGGGCAGCATTCAACTGCCTTAACCATGAGATCATACTTTCATCTGAAGGAAGAGCTCACTGTCACTTCGTAAAAGCACCACCATGCCTATTGCTTTGCAGGGAAATAAGCACTAGGCAAAGACTTTTCAAAACTATCCTACCATTAAAACTAACTAATATGCCAAGATCCTGCCTCAGAAGGGTGAAAATTGTTAGGAGAATATCCCTTCAGGACAGAGACACCAAATAAAACCTCTTACAAACCTGGGGAACTAAGACAAATCAAACAATTGTTTTGAAATGAGAAAATAAATGTATTTAACATCTTACAGTCCTCAATATAAGCAAGCTCCTTGTAAATCTGGTTATTAAATTAGTGAAGGGAGAAAGATCTTATACAATATGCAACTGTGGTTGACATACCAGGACTCCTGGCATCTCTCAAGCAGGTAGGAGACTCCATATGAAGTAAAGCCTCTGCAGCTTCAATTGTTTTATCTGTGCAGTGCACATTGCTGCCATGAACTGATGCTTCCACTGCAAAATAATACAAAACACAATCATACAAGGTTATTTATAAGAGGGTCATAGGTGCTGTAATACAACCTCCTTACATGATTCAGCACACATTTGAATTGTGTTGTACAAGGTGAAACCCAAGAGAAATCTGACAGATGTCATTACACCAAGGGCTTCATGCTAACAACAATAAAACATTTATTAGGTAGATCAAAGGCAACTAGAAACCAATGTCCCCACTTCTTAAACTGGATTTTGCTTAGTCAGTGAGAATACAGTTCATGGTAGGTAACTAATAAGAGATTACAAGATAGGCCTTTGAGATTTGACTTCTGCCTTAATTTTAAACCAAAACAAACTGATTTTTAATAAGGATGATTGTAGATGAACCGTTGTCTATGGAAGGAGTTACTATTCAGATGCATTGCCAAGCATTGTCCCATTAAAGCCCAAGGGTCACGTAGTAATGTTTTCAGTTCATTTGAGCAGAACAGGTAAACAACAAAAAAATGTAGTTTGCATAACAGATCTGTCTGGTTCTATATTCTACTACCTGACCTTAACTATAACTTCACAGAGCTGGGGGTTAGCAGTTTTTTACTATGCAGCTTTATGCTCTTAAGTGAGAGCTGGGAAGTGAGAACGAACTACTGAATATTTCACTTTCAACTTAAATCTTACAAACATCAAATTATTAAATAAAAAGTTTTAAAATTAAATCTAGCTGTAGCATACATTTCAAATTATAACTTGACACAGGACACGTGTTAACATGAGCACAGCAATAGTATTTTTTCTAATAATAAGCAAGCTGAATTTTAAGTTTAAAATATCATTACATCCAAGGCCAATTCTCTACTCCTCTCCCTTGGACAAGGTTTTTAAAACTGGCAACTCCATAAACACCTGTTGCACATCATTGACACTCTCACCAAGGTACCCTGTCCCTCTCCAGTTACTCTTTCCATTTATGGAAATCTGCTCAAAGCTAAATCGTTCCTGCCAGGCAGCCAATGTCTGAGCGAATCTATCTTTAGAGTAAGCAGAGTCACCTATTTCCAGCGTCAGTGAACTAAAGAGGATTCAACTAGTAACTCTACTGGAACTTCAAGACACCTATCCAATTACTGAACATTCTGGTGAACAACTTGACATCACTTAACTAAAAAGTAGGGAAAATACCCAAACTATGAACTATTATATCTGGTGCAGTAATGTTTTCAGTTCATTTGATGAGAACAGGTAAACAACAAAAATTGTTCAGATGTATACGAAGACGTGTGGTACATGGGGGGGGGGAAGGGGAGGAAATAAAGTCTCTTTCTAGCATGGTCTCCAGTTAATGTTTCTAAAAGCCAGGGACTGAGAAATTTACCAAACACCTACTTGCCAAAGGACTAAACATACTAGTCCAGAAGCTCATATGAGAAGGGCATTATCAGCAAGGCTCTGGGTCAATGCAATGCCTTGATGAGAAACCTAGCTCCCCAATCAGATGGCTATTGACATTTCTAAAAAGGAACTGACCCTGGACTCTAGTTATGGGCTTATCTTTTTGGAGTAGTAGGTGCCTGGTAAATTTGATGTTCCATCACTAATCTATAGTAGCTGGAAAGAAGAGCCCGCTCCAGAGCATCCAGATTGCTGTGAGTTGGAATAGTCTCCACTACTTACTCATCCCCCCTCAACCTTAGCCTCCGTAAGAAGAGGAGGAAGGAATTCTCCAATACCCTCCCCACCTTCCCATGGCAGCTATTTTTGGATCCTCCTGCCTCTGCTGCTGCTCCTGCTAACATTTTCCCAAGCAGCAGCAACTTGAAATTGACATGATTCTGATAGTTTCACTGGTGCCCAGCATTCTGAAGAGCAGCAGTGAAAATTAACCGGTTTTGCTCTGTCACTCTCCCCACACACGCAAAAAAACCTCTAACTAAAAGCTTCGATTATACAGAAGTTGACAGCTCAGTCCCCTCACTCAATAGGTAAAACTTTCCACCAATCAGTCATAAGTAGAAATGCTATTCAGTCAACTAATTATAGAATTTCAATTCCACACCAGTCTGGAAACTAAAAATGCCAAGTTCTATTTAATCCCGTGTTGTAGTGGTGTTGATCCCAGGATACTAGTTATATTTTAGATAAAACAGACTCTAAAAAGTTTCCAAACAAGATCTCAAAATTATTCTGATACTTTCCCCCATGGTCAGCTGTGAAATTTTCATTTTGTTTTAGTTTGCTTTGTCTTAGGAATTATTGTTTGCAGTATTGCTAGTGAGCAGCCTATACCTTTTCAAGATTTATTGTTCTGTACAGAAATGCATTATATGAAGAATACAAAACAATTTTTGATGGATTTAAGTTCTAAGTAAATTAATTTATACTACTTCTAATTTAATAAAATTGTGTACATCTGTATAAATTTCACATCTGAAGTGATTAATCATTTTTTACAGGTGGTACTGGGTTCTGCTCTGCAGGTGAGGAGCACTTGGCCTTTCACAGGAGCAGAGGCACAAAAAATAGCTTCAAATCACCTTTGCACTTCCCCAGTACGGGGCTGTCTGGGTGCCAGTATAGTCCCAGCTTTTATATAAGAGCAGGGGTTCTCAACCTTTTTCTTTCTGAGTCTCCCCCTCCCCCCCATAAAAATGCTATAAAACTCCACGGCCCACCTGTGCCACAACAACTGCTTTTCTGCATATCCAGTAAATTAAAAGCTGTTTTAAATGGATAGTTATACAGTTAAACACACACACATAAAATATTTAAAAAATGGACAATAGAGGCACAAAAATAAAAAACAGAAATTTTTTTTTATTTACTCTCTGAAACTTGTTGAGGGTGCTGATCAACAATTCTGTCAAGACATGGGGGAGTATCTTTGACAAGCACAAGCACAGGTCATGGTCATTGTTCATTCTGGTTTGGTACTTTGTTTTCATTGATGTCATGGCTGAAAATCTGGCTTTCACATAAGTAGATGGTATTAAAGAGGATCAACATTATCAGCGCTGCAGAAGCAGTGATTTATTCATCAGAACACTCACACCAAAATGTCTCCAGCAGCATGTCTTTGAACCTGGTTCTGAGGGAGCTATCTGATGAAATGTCAAAGAGCTCTTCTAACAATTTTGATGGCATGGGAATGGAAGTTTATCTTCAATGGTCTCACTGTAGCCCACATGTGTGTAGTGAGTTCAGGAAAATAAGCATTGAATTTGTTAAGCAGACCAGACAGATGCGCTGCTAGTTGAGGTTTAATTACATCCAAGTCAATATTTCGTTCCTGAATAAAAGAATGTAAGAGCTCAAACATATCAGTAGTGCCCCCACAGACACGAACTTTCCAGAATTGTGGTTTTCTTTTGAATGCCGCAATTCTTTCACTGTGGGCAATACAATTAATGTTCCCACCTTATATAGTTTTATTCATCTTATTAATTGAATATGTCTGTAAGGTAACGCAGTTTTGCCAGCCACGCATCATCTTTCAGCACTTTGGCAAGTTCAGGATTCTGATCATCTAAGAAAGTACATAACTCTTCCTTGAGATAAAATATATGGGCAAGCATTCTGCCTCAAGATAGCCATCTCACCTCTGTATGCGTAACTAAGGAATGGTACTCTGTACCCACTTCCTCACAAAGTGCAGCAAAACACCTGGAGTTTGTTGCTCTGGATTTAATAAAATTAATGAGTGTTACCGCTGTGTTCAGAACACTGTGAATATTTGGTTCAATATCTTTTGCAGCAAGCACCTCTCGGTGTAGAAAGCAGTGTGTCCAAATAGCGCAAGGTGCAGCGGCTTTTATTTTCTGCACAACACCAGACTGCTTTCCAGTCATTGCTGTGGCTCCAGCAGTGCAGACTTGAATGCAATTAGTTCAGCAGATTTCTGCTGAAATCATAAAATCATCTAACAGTTTGAAAATGACATCTGACTTTGTTGTTGTCTTGAGCTCTTTGCAAAACAAAAAGTCTTCCTTTATTTTCTTATTACACACACACACACACACACACACACACACACACACACACAGGCAAGTAGTAAATGGGACATTTTCTAAATGTCTGTGCATTCATCTATGTCAGCAACATCATTGTCACGCAGCCAATCAATACACTGTGAGACTAGGTCTTCTAACATAGAAGTGATCCGTTGTTTGACGGTGTCATTTGACATCGGTAGTTTTGGCCTTCTCCTCTCCAAACACTTCCTTTGTTATTTCAATAGCACACATTATCAAAGTCTCAGCAATTGTTGCAATTTTTTTGTTTTAGCAATTTTCTGCGCTACTATGAAGGATGACCTTAAAAACTTTTTATCCACAGTAGTTATGGATTTTATTACTGCTTTAGTACCAAGCAGTTCCTTGGCCTTTCGCTTATTCTTATATATTTCATGTTTTGTAATTAAATGTTTCTGTAATTTGGAGGGCTTTTCAAACATTAATTGGACAGTACTTGTGCAAAAATTACACACTGCAGTTGAGGTACATCTCCACTTCAAGAACAAATAAAACCAAAATTCAAATAGCTGTCTTTGTATTTCCTAAATTTCGCACGGCTAATAGCTTTATGTTTCTTACTCACATCACCTCATCTGTGTTCTTCAGCCCTTATGGTAGTTGAACATGTTGAAGGAAGTTCAGTATTATCACTCTGTGGGTTTTGTTGTTTTGAAGCTGATGGTCAAATTAAAAATGTATCCATATTTGATATATATTGTTTACGTTTACAACAATTTTCCCTGTCCTGTGTAACTTTTCCTGCTCCCGCTGAAATAGATCCTTTACACCAGGTAAATGAAGCTACATAACCCGCAAGGCTGGTGTTAGACTCACTCGGCCCAGGGCAGAAGCAAACTAGAGTGACCCATGCATGCTGGTCTCTGGGGGTGGAGCAAGCGCTGGGTGAGAAGGCACTGAGGCTGACCTACAGGCGGGGTTGCTCCCTCTTTCCAGGGACTGATGGTGAAGCCTGAGCCCCACCTCCCGGGGTTGAAGCCGGGGCATGGG